TATCTATCTATCTATCTATCTATCTATCTATCTATCTATCTATCTATCTATCTATCTATCTATCTATCTCTGGGATCATAGGGCTACAATGATAAATACAGGAAGAAAGAAGTCATCACTTACAAATGTCTATTTTCAGGAGATGACAATCCCTGGGGCAATATCAGGGATGCACTGCAACACAAGATTTCTTGGTCCCAGAACATATCTAATAAATAGTTCATACACATGGGCATAATGTTATTTGAGGATTTTCTTTTTAAGTCCACCTGATTGACAGCAAGCTTAGATAAAGAATCCTAGCAATTAATATCCTTAAGAGTATAAAATCACAAATAATTATTTTTCTCCCATCAAATTTTTTTGTAGATTTGGATGAGGGTTGGAAAGTGAATGACTCCTGTGACCTTGAAAATGGAATGGCAGATCAGCTTCTAAAAGGGAGGGAGAGTTGACAATAACAGTTAAGATCCTGTTTTATTAACTGAAGCAGTCCATTTCCTCTGAAAATTTACTATCATTCCATTCTACACAATTTATCCAAGCAGGTCTTGCTTTCTTAACAATTCAGTGTTATTCACTGAAAGAGCAATAAAGCAAACTCTGTGCTTGCATATATATTCATATTCATTTACATGGCAATGAAACATGCACATCCTTCTCTTTGATGATGGTAAATTACTTTATCCCACTAAAACATTCCTTTGTATTTAAATACAAAGGATATAACTCATTTTAAGCTATTTCATGAGTATCTTACTTAAGAGGAATGAAAACTCTTTAACAACCCTAATAGATCATAATTGAAAGTAAGGAATGTTCTTTCTTGTAATGCTTGGGGCCCAAAAGCAAAGTCCTTTAACATAAGTTGCTTTAAGCCTTCATCATTTAAAATAAATGTATGTTTAAAGGTACAGTCAATCAATTCTAATATTCTGAAAGTATCATTTAATTAAAATTAAGTTTACAATACATAAGACAGCCAAATATTCAATATTGCAAGGCAATACATTACATTAATAATTCTTATTCCCCTTCTGTCCTCTTAAAATTATAAATTGGTAGCAATATATGGAAGTGCCTGGGAAACTTCACAAATGTAAAAATTGCCTGTGCATTTCTGATGTATAAAACATGTATAATACTATGCCAATTGCTTCCCCCCCCCCTTGGGAAGGATTTTAGTCACTGACTGTCTCCCTTTAAGATCATTTCCTGTGCTGTGGTCTTTTCTTTTTCCTCTGAACTGCATTAACAACTTCCTTTAAAAGAAGGAAAGGTGTGAAGATGCTGCTGCTGCCACTTGCTATGTTTGCTGATATTTTAAAAAAGAGAGAGACTATGAATAAGCAGCCATTCATGTCATGTTCCCAGAATCCTTCATCTATAGCAGAAAGCTTCAGGAGTGTGTCCTAAACTAAAATTGAAGTCCCCAGAGCAAAGATGGTTGAGGGCTCTGAATTTCAGATAAAGAAAGCTTTGAACTAGACAGCCCTATGCCTGGAACAGAAATTGCATCCCTCATACAAAGCTCTGCTTCAGAATAAGTGCCAACAGACTTATTCCCAAGACAATCTATGGAGTCAATGTGCCAATGCAAGAAGCAAGCTGCACATGAAATCGTAAACACATGGATGGAACATTAATAAGAGTGCAAGGAAGAGGAAAAATAGCTCGATCACTCATTCTGATTATAGCAATCACAACCCTGACAAGTGGCTTGTGAGAAAGTTGCTCATGGGATTGGCAGTGATGGGAATTGTATAATATTATGTAAACCTGAAAGGAGTTTTTGTTGTTACAGAATAAAGAGTAGGTACAATTGACCCTTTATAATTAGGTTTTAATGTTAAAGTGCTCTGGACAAATTTTAAAATGTCTTGAAATGTAAATACCTAAAGTAGCAAGAAAAAGAACAAAGTAATGTTTTTTCCTCATTTAAAAAAAGAATTTGGTTGTCTTTTAAAACTGCATATAATCATCATTGTAAAGGTTAGCTTCTTGTACAGAAACATTGCTAAGCACCTTCAAACATTTCCTTTTCCAGAATTTTAAAATTGGTAAACAGCAATAGAAAATGTTAGGTATTTTACTTTCCATGAGAATAAAAGAATATAACTAGTTTTCCAGACACAAATATCTAACAATTGGGATTGATAATAGAAAACAAAAACTTATTTTCAGGAATAATCAAATTTTCCTCACTAAGAAGAAAAAGTCTGTGTTTGCATAACAGAATAAACTAAAATTTGGTTGGCTAGTTTGTAATAAAATATGTAGTAGAGATCTGAGTCACATATTTAGATTGTGGTTCTTTTATGCACATTAATATAGCTGGGTTAATTGATTAAACTTACTAATTTAACCATGGATAAATATAGGATGCAATATAGATACTGAACACCTACTCATGTCCAGTTTGCTATGTTCTTTCTCCAGATGTAAAAAGGAAAGATATAAAACTGAATTTTCATTATTCATGTAACTGGTTGATTATTACAGATTTCCTTCCCTTCTCCAATGCATGGATGGTACTTGATATGCTGCAGGTACCCATCAAGGATTATATTTTAAATATCATTTCAAGTGAGAATACACAGCAAGGCTGGAACAGGCCTTGGGCAAAGTAGTTTGCAGAATTCTGGAAAGTAGTGTGATTGCTCTTCACCAGCCTGAAGGTTCTGTACTACAAAAACTCAACATCAGCTGAAGTGCAAACAAAATGCTCAATTCAACAATTGAAGCTATATTGAACAGGGCCTTAGATGATGTAGATAGTGCTAGCTCCAAAGCACCAGCATCATTCACCAAAAATGAGTGAAACTTATAAATCCCCAGTTCTATAAATGTGTGTATTTTCATTTTTTTTCACACACAAATGCCAAGTTCATTCTCTATGTCACTAATATCCCAGAGTAATGTTCCAATACCTTAAACTATACCTACCTTCTTATAAAATGCTTGGCATCTTCTGTAAATCTCTGGGTTAGGTTTTCATAAATCCATGGTTGCTGGGTAATACTGTAATTTCTCATCAGGAAGCAATTTAGATGCCGAAAGTTGTTAAAGAAGAGGAATATGATTGCCACCAATGTAACAACCAACACAAAGAAGTAGCCTACCATTCTATGTGGAATTCTGAAAAAGCCAATATAATGCATAACTTCCAAAGTTATTAGAGCAATTCCAGTGATTTGAAGGGTTGAGGGAATATACATTTTAATTCCTTTGATGAAAACACTTCCATCCCCAGGTCTGCAGTCTCTAATATTATTCACAGGAATTCCATAGAAATGATCAAATCCATGATTTAAGGGATGGTGGCAGAAATCATGACTGCTGTTACAATTTAAACCAAGATGCCATTTGCCTAGATGAAAAAAAAGTACATAGATTTCAGATCATATGTTAGCCCTCAGTAAAGATTGTAGAAATTCATATTTACATTTTAATATGAAGGTACCAAAATTGTATTTTCAAAATATATACATGAATAAAATAATGCAATGTGAAAAAAGCAATTTAATACATTTTTGAATGCAAAAATATATACAAAACCCATTATTGTGTTTCCATATAATAAACTATATGTAAATAAATTATTTTGAATAATTTATAAACAGAAGTATTTCAACAGAAGTGATAAAAGAAAAAGGAGTTTTAAAGTCTAGAAAAAGTAAAAACTGAGCAAATATATATCTGTTTCTAATACATTACTTAAACAAACAAATAAATAAAATAGGGAATATTCATCCCTAACACCCCTTGTTAGGTAGATTATATGAATAATTTTGAAATAGTCTTCAACTAAAGACACTTATCTAAGAAAGCCACAATCCTTTTCACTTGATTTCACAAATTATTATGTTTTTTTTAACTTTCTCTGAAAAATATGCCACTATATATTTCTGTTTGAATGCACATTTTGGGCATGTGTGAATAAACATTCTTATTGTAAAAGTAGAAAGATCGGTCTAGTCTTTATTATGAATCTGGAGTTACTTTTTTCTCAACTTTTCTGATGATAAGCAAATCTTACTTAATGGTGTGGACTAATGGGAACTAAAATGAGCTTTCAGAAATTTTTACTATTAATGTGGCATATTTATACTGTATTTATGTTCACCACAGTCCTCAGAAAACCATTAACTAACTAATGGTTATATCAGTGACGTGCGGTGAGGTTTATGGCCGGTGAGGCAAGCGGGCAAAAGCTGCTCTATGTCTGCTGCCCTATGTCTGCCAGCGCCGGGGCTTCGCCGGGGCTTTCGGAAAGCCGCACCAAAGCTCCGGTGCGGCTTTCCAAAAGCCGCCCCCAAAGCCCCAAGGCATCCTGCTCTATGGCGGACACGGCGCCGGGACTTTAAAGCCCTGCCGCCATGTCCACCATACAGCGGGATGCGTCCCACTCTATGGCGGACACGGCGACGGGATTTTAAAGTGACAGATATGGTGTATGGAGAGCAGAAGAGCCAATAATTGTTTTTGGGAGTTGATGGTAAGATGAACTGATGTAAACATTTAATAATACAATACGATGCTGGCTATGCAATAGAATACATGTGATTATATGTTATGAAAATGAAAAAATGAAAAACTTTATATAAAAGTTTTTTGGAACATTGCTAGCATATCATCCCTAGTCCTTCTTTTTACCAGACTAGCCATTCCCAATTCCTGCAACCGTTTTTCATTTGTTTTAGCCGCCAGCCCCCCCCAATCAACTTTGTTGCTCTTCTCTGCTACTCGTGTTACCAAAGATGATATCAAATTTAGCCCCATTTCAAATTTTTCCTACTACTTTGAGATTGAAAAGCAGAATTCTCAATTATTCTATCATTATTGTGTTGCGGTCCCTGCGCTTACATATTCATATTCTACCTTTCATTTTTATTTCTTTTTATGCATATTATACAGGTAGCCCTCAATGTACGACCACATCTGAGATCAAAATGTATGTTGCTAAGTGTGAAATTTGTTAAGTGAGTTTTGCCCCATTTTTCTTACCACGTTTGTAAAGTGAATCATTGAAGTTGTTAAATTAGCACAATTGTTAAATGAATGTGGTTTCCCTGTTGACTTGGCTTGTCAAAACATCACAAAAGGTGTTTGTAACATTTCGGACCTCAGGGACACTAAATTCATAATTTTGAATCCCGTGGACCACTTATATGATTTTTTTAGAAAAAAGACAAATAGTATTTAGTACAATATAAAAAATGCAAATAATTTTTCTGTGAACCACCAAAATTTTCTCATGGACCACCAGTAGGGGACAGGAAGGCCTGAAGGAACGCTGTCTATGGGGTTGTGGTGGGTCGGACACGACTTCACAACTAACAACAACAACAAATACATCCTCCAAATAAAGTTGTCCCTCTAAAGAGGCCATGAAGGAAGATGAAGAGACTTGGAAGAGATGAAGAGACTTTCAATACATCCTACAAATAAAGGAGCCTTTCTAAAATCACAGTGGTGTCTCTTTCTTGACTTGGCCGGTGGGGGAGAGGAGAAAGGGAAGGGGGGCACAGCAGGCAAAAGAAAGAAAGCCCCAGCCCGCCAGCAGAGGCAGGTAAAAGCCCCGCCTCTGCTGGCGG